CCAGAAAGAATAGCTTAACCTCAACTACTTTAGAACACTAAAATCAACATTATTGATAAGGACCCTCCAATAGTGAACTGGCTTATATCTAATTACAATACTAGCAGAAAAATAGATTTAGTTCCCTAAGAGTAGATTTTGCAACTGATCCCAGATAGTTTACCAATGAATTGCATTGCTTATAATTGGACAGTAGGTACCCTATGAACATAAAGTAGGTCAAAAAGGTGATGGAGGCAGAATCTGAAATATTGTCCATGTCCAATCTGAAATATACGGCAAAGAACTTTGGGGTCCTGATCACCCTTTTGAGCAAGTGTTAGATCAGACTAGGCTTGTTTGGGGGGAACAATTTTATCTCTGCCTGCAGGACCTCCTTTGTATAAAGTGTGGGGAAGTCTTTCATTTGGATAGATGTCCATTTGAGGCAAAAAGGAATCAATAATTCTTAACCTAGCCAGCTCTACTTCAACTCTATCAGCTCAAAACAAGTCCATCTCTGACCAGCTTCTGAAATTATAACATGGGAGCAATCACCATATCCTTCTCATAGCAACAGTTAAGTCATTATAAACACATTTCTAAGCACTTACTGTGTATACTGGGTGTACACTACATAAATAGCTTAGCATCTCACTTAATTCCCTTCAACAACCCTTGGGAATGTATGTAATTCTCCGCTCCAACTTTCAGCAAAGTCAAATTAAATAATCAGCCTCATGTCATCCAGCTAGTCAAAGTCAGAGTGGGATTTAAGCACGGGTCCATGTGACCCACACTAAGACCCATGCTGACATGCACAACCTTGATCGTTATCTAACAAATACAAAGGATCTTGTGAGCTGAAAACACTACAAATATACTTTTATTATAGGAGCTTAGAAAACTCTGCAATTAAGAAGCTGCTTTACTCCCTCTATGCCATATGTGGCCACATTTTCCCAGTGTAAGTGATGTCATTCCACCATACCATTCTCTCAAAGCACTCTGGGATTCTCTGGGAAGAATGCAACTACATAAATAATAGTTATTATTATAATAATCCTTATCTCACTATATAGCTATGACTTTTTAAAACTATATAAATAAATGATTAAGAGACATTCAAAATCCCTACAGTCTCAGACTTAGAAGTGAAAAAATTTAGCGACTGGCCCCGTGACTGTCAGCCTAAAGTGCTTTACAACTGCTTGCACCTGCTTAGTTTCCACTGATTGAACACAGTTATGAATGGACTTCTATGGGTTGATAAATCAGAACTTATGTAAGTGGTTTTCAAAGCTCATCTGTGCAGCTTTAGTCTGATGCAGACTCCCACATAAATTTTCCTTTAAAAAAGTTCATAAAAATATTAACTATCATAAAATACCTTCCTGGTTAGCTCATGCCACTGGGAAGAAGCTGCTATTCTTATATTAACAATTCTTCCCCGAATTAATCAGTCATTGTACATTAGAACCAGCAGCTGGAGTGTTTTGGGTGATAATGAAACCTGTAACAAGGCATCTTCAGCCGTCTTTTCAAGACAATAAGGGAATTAAAATTTCAATTTAAATGCAGAGGTTTGAAACACGCTTCACTGGCAAAATTACTTCAATTAATGTGAGTGGAATACAAAGGACAGACTGCAGAAACGTGATGCAGCAACCAGAAATTATGTCATTAATGTGCTTGCATCAACCCAGCACAATGACTGCAAAGGTCTAATTTAAACCATACATATCACAAAGCTACAGGCTACAATATTAATCAAGTCTCTGATTTCAATGTGATGGATACAGGCTTCTTGTTGGACCTACTTTTAGCTTTTCATAAGCTAACAACAGCTGTTTACCTTGAAGAAGGAAACAAAAGGCCATGCCTATTTGCAGACATTCCCTGTCATGACAATTTAATTATTTTATGCAATACTCAGGTTACATATCAAAAGAAATAAGTAATCCCATCTAGAAGCCAAGTCTATAGCTATCAGACCAGCGTGAGGGTGACGCAGGAATTGTAGGAGCTGACAAGAGCCACAGGTCACCACTGATTTATTTACTCTGGATTTATGAACCTGAGTAGGGATTAAATTACTAGCCATCTGCACCTGCCTTACATGGAAATGCAAAAATCTTTTGATAAACAAATCCAAGGAAATCAGAGAGTTTTGAAAGACTCAGGTTTTTGTTTTTACTTTCCTCTGATGTCTTTCAGCAAAGATTTTTCATTTGGACCCTTGAGATGCTTTAAGTAGATTTTATTTCTAATAGCACATAACCATGGGGAAAGGAAATGTGATTACTTTTTCATAGGAAGTCCAATGAAAGAGCAATTGTAGACCTTACGATTCGCTCATATACAAAAGGCCAAACTGAAGGAAGTTTCCAACATTTTAAGCACACCTTAAATCCTACCTTCATGCAATTATTGCATATTAGGATATGCCAATTCCTCAGATCATGCAAAGCAACTTGCTCATCTGGAAAATGGGGAGCACATCAGAAACCTCTTTCTCAAAAGGTTACTGCAAGAATTAAGTATGTTAGCAAATGTAACAGACTTAGTAACAGAACATAATGAAAACGCAATACATATTAGCTGTTATTATAATTACTGTTTGTTCATTTAAATATTGCAAAAAGGAAAGGTTGGAAACTAGAGAAACTTGCCATAAAAACAAACACTGAAACCAGAGAAAAATCAGACCAGAGCCCCTAGAAAGGAAATATCCTATTCTGTTTAGTGTTATTAAGGCTTTCCCATGGCTACCCATTTGGCTAATAACCCTGACTAGATGAGGCACACTATACTGAGTATGGGGCAGACAAAAATAAATAAGATCTAGCCCTTGCCCTCAATGACCTACCATACAAACAAGAGTAGCTTGTTTGGAAACTCTTGTTTCCATAAGAGTACCACGTAGCTTATGGAAACAAACAAACAATAAAAAAAAGCATCTACTCAGGGTAATTTATTAAGACAATAAAAAAATACCTTTTTTTTTTTTTTTTGAGAAAAGAAAAGCATTTAATCACCTGGGACATTCGGAGAGCTAATGAAATTTGAGCCAAGCCTTCAAAAATAAATCATCATTTTCCAGGCAGACAGGGTTGGGATTAGGTTCAGGGAAATATGATCAATTCAACAACATCTATCACATCCCTACATCAGCAACAAATAACTAGAAGTTATTATTAATAAAGAGCCACCTGCTTTAAAAAATATGATAGCCAGAAATAAAACATATTTAATACCTCTAAGCAATACATTACTAAGCATTATTACATAGAACATAAATGAAGACATCAATAAATGAGACCTGTTCACTGAAAGACTCAATATTACAAAAATGAAATTCTTATATTGAATCAATCTCCTGACACTTTTTGAGGAATGTGACAAGCTGATACCAAAATTCACATGGAAGAGTAATGGGCCAAGAATAGCACAGGTAATTCTGAAAAGCAAGGTGAGGGAATGTCTCCATCTGCTATTATCAAGATATATCATAAAATAATAGAAATTAATATAGCACAGTTTTGGTGCAGATATAGACAAGACCAACTGAACAAAACAAAGAGCTCAGGGACAGACCCATGCATACATGAAAACTTGGTATGTGACCAACATAGCATTAGAAGTCAGGAGATAGGGATCCCTGGGTGGCGCAGCGGTTTGGCGCCTGCCTTTGGCCCACGGTGCGATCCTGGAGACCCGGGATCAAATCCCACGTCAGGCTCCCGGTGCACGGAGCCTGCTTCTCCCTCTGCCTGTGTCTCTGCCTCTCTCTCTCTCTGTGTGTGACCATCATAAATAAATAAAAATTTAAAAAAAAAAAAAAAAGAAGTCAGGAGATAAATTCAGCAAATGGTCTGAGCCATGTGGCTATTTATATAGAAGATAAAATTAGATTCCTAGTTCATACCATATATGGAAACAGATTCCAAACGATTAAAGAACACATAGATTTTCTGTATGACACTGGGATAGAAAAAATATTTCCTGAAATAAAAACTGGATATGGTGTGCCTGGATGGCTCAGTCAGTTAAGCATCCAACTCAATTTTGGCTTAGGTCATGATCTCAGGGTTGTGGGATCAAGCCCCCAGATGGACTCTGCACTGGGTGTGGAGTCTGTTTAAGATTCTCTCTCTCTCTACCCCATGCCCCCCACCCCCCACACCACTCATGCTCACTTATTCTCAAAAAAAAAAAAAAATTTAAAAACTGAAAATAAAACGGTTACTGTGAAAAAAAATTGGAGAAAGGAAAAACAAAGAAATTTTATGACATTAAATTTTAATACTTCTTTGTAACAAAAGGCTTCATAAACAAAGTAAGAAGATATATTACCAACTAGGAGAAGATATTTCAAATACATCTGACAAAAGATTAGGATCCAGAATATACAAACAACAACAAATAGGGAAAAAAAGGAACTTCCAGGAAAGGTAGCTCATATATTCACTTCTTTCTAGAGGTAACTGCTCTTCCTTCCCACCCCACTCCCCAGACCCCCACACCCCACATACACATAATTTTAGTTAGAAATGACAATCATAGTACTCAAGTTGGCACAAACCTAGACCTTACCCCCTTATTTTTTAATTAAAAATTTTTCCTCTGAAAGCTGTAAATATGTAGGCTGCAGCCCACACCTCTTCTTCTCTCCCAGACACCCAAACCCAAAATCTGTGTCTCTCATGAATAAATAAAATCTTTAAAACAAAAACAAAAAAAACCACCTCTCCTTACCATGCCAACATAATTTAGGAAATGGTTTCTTATCATTACATGACTTGCCATTCTTCCGAAGGCAGATAATACATGAAAAATCGCCTACCATTTCAAACACTGGAATTGGGAAGAGAACCAGTCAGGCTTCACCTGCAAAGGCTTGTGAATCCCAAGAGGACAGTTTATAATGTGCTACATGAAAGACAGCATTCAGGGAACAAGAGTGGGGCCTTTCCCATCCCAGCAGAAAGAACCATTAGCGCCACAGGCTCTTTTCTCACCAGCATGTCGGTGGCACTGAGATAGTGCTTGCTGACCATGCACTGTTCTAGTTTTTGAGGCACTTGCTTGATGTTCTCAATTTCATCCAGCAGATTCAGGACATGCTTATGCTCAATTCCTTCAATCCACAACTTCCGAAGCTCATCCCTTTTGCAGTGCAACAGCATCTTGCATGAAAGCAGATTCTCTTTCACCTACAATGAAACAGATTCGACCTGATGTCAGTCCAAAGTCTTGCCATCCTAAACTTATCATCTAATTAGTAGTCTTCATTAGTGTCACTAGAAGTAAACAGTTCCTAATTCCCCCTTCACTCACTTCTCATAGTGAGTCGGCTTGCAAAATTCTAATCCTGGTTCTGACACAGACTCACTTGGATAGGTCTGTCTCCACCTCAGTGTATATCTACACTTCAGTGTATATGTGCTCTCCCTTGAAATGAGAAAACTACTCCCAACCTACCTTTGGGTGAATCTAAAAAAGTTACTTAGGACATAGAGCACTCTGAAAATATGTTAAAGTATCTACCCACTGATGTTAAAATATCTAAAAAAGAATCCCTCATAGAGTCCATACTATTAATCCTTCCCTGTTCTCTGCATGTTTCCCATTCAGCTGATAGGTCACTTGGACCATCCTACATCTATAACTTGGTTGAAGTTTAGAGCCAAGGAACTGTGCATTCCTATCAACTAACATGAAAATAAGCCCATGTTCCAGAAAAGGGCACACATCCAGAGATAATCTCAAAATAAAAGGAATTAGGACATACCAAGGATTTTTAGATATTAAATAAGACAATCTCAAACATTCTCATAGTTTAGTGACCAGTATGGCACAGCCCGACAAAAAGAGGAGGAACAGGCAGGGGTACTCGCAATGTACATGGTGAGCACATTTTAATATTCATAATTAAGACTTTCCAATTTTTGTGACATGAAATAAAAAGAATCATGACCTTTCACAATTCACAGAGCTACTTACATATACTTTTGACATTCCTAACATGTATTTTTATTTAAATTAGAATTTAGTATTTGTTTACAGTTTTGTTTTATTAATTTTTTTAGAGTTGGGGGGGGTGTGGGGAGGAGAAGGAGAGCAAGAATCTCCATGCCCAGCACAGAACCCAAAGGGGGACTCGATCTCATTACCCTGAAATCCTGACATAAGCCAAACTGAGCCACCCAGGCACAACTCCCCCACCACCTTTTTTCTTTCTTAAGAGAAAGAAAGAGTAGTTGTTTTGTTTTTTGTTTTTTGTTTTAGGTAAAATTTATGAATACATGTCAGATGTACTATTAGATGTATTTTAGCAAATCCAAGACACCTGTATAATTCAAACCATCAACTATAGGACATATACATCACCCTAGAAAGCTTACCACGTTTTTGATCATTGAAAATCCATCTTCAACAAGATTTGCTGAGGAGGTGCACGCACTCATGAACATTATACTTCTGGTGATTATAAAACTACATCTCAACATTTTTCTAACACACATGGAAAATATGAAGATAGAATGCTAAGATCAGAATGTTTTTTGAGAAAGCATCTACTCTATTCCTGTAACTTTAGGACAATACCTAATCCTAATTCTAAGAAACTCCAATGTAAAAAGAATCCTAAATAAGAAGATTTTGTAATCTCTCTCAATAAGCACAGAATGATCATTAGCTTTCAGGGGAGACATAGACCCCTTTGAAAATCTACTGAAGATGGTCCTAATTGCCTCCACTCCTTCCTGCAGTCCCAAAGTGATTTAAAAAAAAAAAAAAATCTGCTATGCATAAAGCACCTAGGAAAGAGAACACAGAGGAGGGAATGGCACTTTTGAAGTTGGCAAGAAGTTGGAACATGGGTAATTTAGCAGAGGAGAGCAATCTGAAAACCTCAGCATGGAGTGGGGTACCTCCATTGACAAAGAGGTACCAAGAACATGGGAAGTGGGAAAACAGGGCTAACACCTTCCATATTTTGAGCCCTGGATCCTCATCACACCACCCAGACGGAAAAATCCTCCCCCCACCCCCCGCCCTGCCTCAACTATTGGCCACATAGAATGTGTATGACCTGGAGATCAGAAAAGATCTGGGATGAGGGGAGGGTGTGAGGCACTGGACAACAAATCAAAAATGAGACCCAAGTGGGCCTCTGGAACAGTAAATTCCTCAGCCCCCTCCAGAGCCTCGGCCTCCTGCTAGGGTTGCTTCTAAATACACTCAGCTTGATTTCTAGCTCCAACACAGGAAGCATAGGGCTTTCCCTGGGAAAGGTGACCAGGCAAATAGACCTAGAGTTAGTGACATCTGAAGTTTCACGAAGGAGACTGCTAGGTCCCTGCCACTCATCACTAGACGAGGCCCATAACATGCTCTGAGCTTCCAATCAGCTCTGTATTGCCTCACTCTTCCACCAGACAGCCAAAGAAAGCCTGGAATATGCAAAGTCAGGCACCAAAACAAACAAAAAGAAAAAAGAGTTGGGGGGCAAAGGGGGGCAAGACAAAAACTATGCAGGAAACAGAAATTTTTAAAACTACAATGAATATCCCTTAGGAAAAATAGGAGGAGGCACTAACATTGATGAAACAAGAATAGGATGCTATTTAAAAAAATGGAGAATCAAAACTACGCTTGGAAATTAAAACATGATAGAAAAAAATCCAATATAAAGGTTAGAGGGTACCCTTGAGAAAATCTCTAGAGAATAAAACAAAACAAAACAAAACAAAAAAAAAAAACAAGAGATAAAAGATAAAAAGAAAATGAGGGGGATTGATCCAAGAAGATCACTATCTGCCAAATAGAGGAGTTCTAGGGGAGGGAAAATGAGACAAATGAAGTGGGAAAAAATATCAACAAAATAATAAAAGAAAATGTCCCAGGAGACATGTGTTTTTAGATTGAAAAAGCACACCAAGTGCTCAAGAAAATGGAGTAAGGAAAGACCCAAGCCAGGGCACATTATCCTGACACGTAAGGACACAAGGGATAAAGAGACAATCTTAAAAGCTTTCACGGGGGTGGGGTGGGGTGGGGGGGTGTAGGGAGGAACAGAATCCATACAAAGAACTGTGAATCAGAATGCATCAGGCTTTTCCCAATAGGAGCACTAAAAGCTACAAGACAAAGGAATAATATAGCTTCAAAATCCTAAGAGAGAATCCTTTCCCCGAAAAACTATCAATCAAGTGTGAGGGAAGAATAAAGAAATCTTCAGACATACAAGCTCTCAAAAAAATAAATAAATAAGCCTTCTATGCACCATATCTCAGCAAGCTAGTGAAGAACGTGCTCCATCAACACAAGAGAAAATCAGAAGACAGAAAACACAAGATCCAGGAAAGGGGAAAACCAAGGCAGAAAAACTTCCGCCTTTCTGCGGAAGAAAGGCAACAGGAATATTCCATCATTAATCACAAGGAAAACAGCAACAACAAAATTGCTCAAGCGCACACAGTATGCTGAATGGCTGAGAGGTAACTATTTATGTAATTCTAATAAAATAAGCACCATCTATTTAACCAAAAACTAGGATACAAGCAGAGAGAGAGAGAGAGAGAGAGGATGAGGGAGGAAGATGGGGTGAGATATGGGAAAGAGTGAGAGCGGGACCTATATCCTCATCTTCCATAGCTGCAAGCTCATATACCATGTCTAAAATAGAAAAATCAAGAATAGTGTAAGCATTTTACTATGAGTAAAAGTCAGTGCCTTTGAAGTTTTGCAATTTAGACTAGAGAAGGATGAGATCAGGAAGTAGTGGTTTTTATTATCACTTATGGTTTTGACTTTTTAAATTTTTAATTGGAAGTATAATTGACACGTAGTATTGGTTTCAGGTATACAGCACTGATAGAAAAGTCATATAGATTATAAAATGCTCACCATGATTAAGTGTAGTTATCACTGTCACCATACAAATTTAATTACAATATTACTGACCATATTCCCCATGTTCTACTCTTCATCCCTACAACTTATTTTGGAAGTGTGTATTTCCTAATGCCCTTTATTGGACTTTTTAAACATATTTCTCAAGGATATTCCTAGATCCTCTTGGGAACTCTTGGTCTCTGGGCTAGAACTCCAGCTATTATATCCATTCTCTCTCAAATCTTAGTTAAAATCTGTTAGAATTTGATTTCTAATGTTCTACTCTTCTCACCTTGGTTCTGTAATTCTCAGATTTTTCTTTTGTTTCACGGTTACTATGGAAATTGTTAAAAAATAAATGCTATGTCACGCAACACCCAGCTAGGCTCTCAATCAAAAGAAGGGGGGATAAACTTACTGAGTGTCAGGGAAGCTTGGCAAACTCCTTTTGATTGGAAAAAGAAAGGCAATTATGCCATTTCACACTAGGATATATATAATGTAGTCAGCTCACTTCTCATTTTTGCTTACTGCATGGAGGCAAACTGAAAAGGAAGATAGAATTTGTGTCCGTGTTGAGGGGTGAGGAAGATGATATTAGGCTGTGTGGAAAATGAACATCATCAAAATTATTCCCTGAACTAAGTTATTAGCAAAAGCTGCAGACATAAGGAGCTACAAGAACTTTTAATATTAGATTGCCCTGAGGCTTCGGCTCTTTGATGAGAAAGTCAGTTATGAAGAAATGTTATTTTAAAACTTGGGTGGTAGGGGGTGGGGAATACTACTCAGCAATAAAAGAGAAGAAATCTAAAGAATCTCAGAAATATTTTGCTGAACAAATGAAGCCAGATACAAAGAAGTACAGACTGAAGTTCTGGAACATACAAAAATAAAAAATAATCAATAGTGAGGGGGTTCAAATCAGTAGTCATTTGGAGCAGGACATGGAGAGGGGTAGGGGACAAGAAGGGGAACATGGAATTTTGACTCCAAGGAAGGAGGGAACTCTCTGGGGTGGATGGGAATACTTTAAAGGATGTGTACATTTGCCAAAACTCCTTGAACAGTACCCTAAAATGCTGCATTTTACTGAATGTAAATTATAGTTCAATAAATGCTTTTTATACAGGGAAGAGAGAAACAGCATGATATCCATCAATGAATAGCAATAACTAAAATGTGAGAATGGGACCAAGTTATACCTAAACTGTTATTTCTCGATGTGGTGACAGTATTTTAATTCTATTCTACTGAATTTATCAGGATCATTAAGATTGAAAACCAATGTTACTGTTTCTTCCTGAAATAAATC